CGTATTGTCTTCAGATAACACCCGTTTTTGTGCAGGTGAATCGATCAAAATCATGTGCACAGCACTATAGTGGCAAAAGTGGTTTTCCACTTGCAACTGGTCACGTGGCCATAATACCGCACGTGTTTTCAGCCATACTTGTTAGCAGTCATTACGGCCATTTGTCATGCCATGTCTTTCAAATGTGCAACGTGAACGTGCCATCGGCATGTTGAAGACGGTAACGTCCGTAGCTCAAGTCGCAAGGACGATGGGTTACGATGGACTCAGAGGAATTGGAATCAAGTCGTCTTCAGTGGAGAATCCCGATTTAATCTTCGATTTGCTGTTGGTAGGGCGAGGGTGTGGAGGCGACGTCATGAACGTTACGCCCAGTGTTGTGTGCAGGAAGTTGACAGATTTCGAGGCGGAAGTGTCATGGTATGTGGTGCTTTCTGTGGCAATGCACGTTCCAGGCTTCTTGTCATCCGTGGCAACATCAACGCTGCTGCTTACCGGGACCATGTACTGGCACCAAAACTTCTGCCTTTTATGGCAAACCCGTGAATATTCCGGGGTAGAATATGTCTTCAGCAACCCATGCTTGCCGTAAAAGGTGACTATGCTTGTCGTAAAAGGCGATTTACGGGATCGGGTGGTCAGGATCGCTGAATTGGTTTATGCATGTCATCGATCCCAATTGCGTGGATCGATGCTCATGACATTAATCACTGGATTGTCAGGTCCAGACTCGATTATTTACAGACCGCCGTCATATAGCTGGAATATTGCTGATTACGGCGTTAAACAACAAACCAACCAACCAACCAACCTTTTATGACAGCACATGTACATGGACCCGGTTTGATCTTCCAACACGACAATGCCAGACCCCACACAGCAATTTTGACAAGGAATTTCCTTCGGAATGCGGGAGTCAACGTTATGGACTGGCCGTCAAGGTCTCCCGACCTCAATCCCATCGAACACGTCTGGGATGCATTCTCCAGAACCAACCACAGAATGTGCAAGATCTTGGCACCATTTTGCAGCAACAATGGCGTCGTCTTCCCAATCATGTGTTCACAAGCATCACAAGGTCCATGCGGAGGCGTTGTGTGGCAGTTTTCAACGCACATGGTGGCCATACACGCTACTGAACTTGTGTGCCATCAGATTCCTGTGCTTGGGACTTATGATTTAAACTGTTGATGTTATTACCGAATACCGTAGGTGCTTGGAACAAATTAGGGTTACCACCGTTAATTAAAATCCTTCTTTGGACATTAATGATTAAACATTACCTTCTCTGATACATTTGTCCGTTGTATATCATATATGGGATTACTTTTAAAAATGTGAAGTTTTTAATTTGACTCAGTATATATGTAGGGACATCATCTGAATATGACTATATATGCAAATGTTACGATACTGTATCTATCTTCACGAATTATTAAAAATTTCGCATAAAGCTCACGGAGACAAAGGCTATAGATACAATACCACATTTGATTTTTTAGATGATAAAGTACATTTGATAATCAATTCAGTTATCGATATCTAAAAACCGATTTGCCATATTGATAAACATTTCATGATAAAACAAAATCAAATGTGTGATATAAATTCATTCTTTAGTATCCATATATGAATTATTTATATCATATAACGAATAAATAGTAAAAAGGCGCCCTATATATTGTTCTTTGTGGACTGTATTAAGTAACGCATTTGCATCACGGCTATAGTGTTAATTGCTAGTCTGTTTTTCTGCACCATCGTTTCTTTCATCTTATGAAAAACTGTTTAAAAAATGGCAACTTATAATTAACCAAGGTAATAATACTTACCCGACCTGCGTTTATTTATCTCTCTGTCATTATTATCGTTAACATTTGTCTACTTTTAAGTGTATATACTTATGCCATACATCGTACTGGTTAAGGAATGACACATCATCGTGAGATATATGTACTCCATACACATGAGCACAACGGTACTTTGATTCTATAGCACAGAAATTGTTTCCCCGAGTTACTGTGTAAAGGTTCACCCCTTGTTTTCAGGCGTCTCATTCAGACAAATAAGTCATGATCAGGTGTGACAGTTACCACAATAAAACGATTTTATACCTGGCGACTGATCATGACACTCTTGATGGGTCAGTGATTAAGACAACAGATCAATACACACGCTTCCTATTCAGCATGTACGTATGATTACATGGCTGTGTGTACGCATGGTATGTATGGCTGTATGTATGATTAAATGTATGTAAATTATGTATGAATGTAAATGTATGTAAGCCTAGATTACAAAATAAATGCTTTGGTCGTTTGAAGCCAGAAGGCAGAGGTATTCCCGGGAAAGAAGCCAACTCTCGGAGTTGGTCACTAGAGCTGAAACTTCTCTCAATCTTTTTGAATAAGGCGAATGGACCAGAGTAAGCTTAGGGATTATCGGCTGTTGTGTGAAAACAATACTTCAGAAAGAACGACGTCCTGTCCCAATGAACAAACCTACAGATTACGGATTGAACGTCAAAAGTGTCTGTCAGGTTTCTTATTGCTTAATTACTTTTCCTGGAGAATATGTTTCTTGTACAAGCGCTATCAAACATGTTAACATACAAATATATCAATGTTGAAGCTAGGCTTCACTTCAGTTTTCCTTTATTTAGCAGGCCCCTCATGTAGCCTAACTGTTTATATTACTATATCCTGCTGTGCTTTACACCTATCAAAGCTATACATTACTAATATATATGGGCTTAATTTTATCTATATTGCAAACTTTTATACATCATTTATAATTAATAGTCAACATATATACCTATAAATCTTTACTATACTCAATAATGTAACGAAATGTAATACATTAACCCCCCTTTCTGATTGAAAGAAGTCACTCAACTAGTTCAGGCATTGCATGGTAAAAAAAAATCAGACTTGGTTAGAATCCGTGTTTATCTCCGACAACTTCCCACTGGTGACATTGTAGTGAACTTGGGAAGTGGTGATGACTTTTTATATTCATATTATTATAATCTGCCAAACTGTTCATAAATGTGTGTGTGTTAAATCATAAAATTCAAAGGGACTGTTCCCTCAGCCCAACAATATCATAATGAATGAACATTAGTTTATTGTATGGATTATAGAAAGCTCTCACTAAGTATATGTTTTACATGCATGAAAGATGGGATTAAGGGAGAAAGGAGAAATGTTCTAACTGTCAATCGTCTTAATAGGACCATAACGTTTGTTATATATCGACTGCCTGTCTCTATGTCTTAAGTTGTTAATCGGTAACTGCGGTCCAGATTTATTTAATTTATTCATCTATTGTTGCAATCTTGACTGATTTGTTTACACAATAAAAATTCTAATTGATCATGCACTACTGAGGAAGTCAAGCACCTGTATAAGAAATATAAAAGCAGCCATGTTACATGTAGTCCCAAAAGCTGGCAATTATTTCGCCGCAATATAACTGAAAAAAATGCTGATGTGACGTGACATATACCCACAGACAATACATTTTTCCAATGAGTGTAGCACAATTTTATCAAAGTTTTATTTACAATTTGAAAAACTATAATAATATGAATATTATGATTCGTCATCACTTTTCAGGTTTACTAAAATGTCACCAGCTGGAAGATGTCACAGATAAACAAGGATTCTAACTAAGTTTGATCGTCAGAGGTTTATCCCCAATTTGCCAGCACAATGCAGAGGATTAACAGTTATGGTGAGTGAGCATGGTTTTACGCCGCTTTTAGCAGTTACTGTGTTTATACAAGCACAGAAGTCATGGAAAAATCGCTCACAGTAGTTAGTGAGTAAACTCAACTGAGGATTTTATAAGTATCCATCACAACCTTTGAAAGCTAACATGTGAATAAACTCAGTTCACTGAAACTTAAATAACTAAGGCACTTGCAGTGACCAATTAACAAGTAATCAGTGAGATAGTATATAAATACTGGGAACGCCAAACAACTTCATTGTAAATAGACAAATGCACCTGTGAATGGTCAAGGTTTTACATACCGAGTGAAACAAAGACGAGGTGCCAGCCTACACTGGAAATGCTGTATGCTGCATGTCCCGCCTCCATCAACACCTCTAGTGATCTTTTCTTGATTCCGAGCCTTGCGCATAACCATTGTCATGACCTGGTTGAGTGACTTCCTCCCATCAACGTGAAAGGATTACCCACAGAGAAAGAAAGGATTAAAATCCTAAAGATATCCTATCCAAATGGTATAAGTACTCACAACCAATTTCCTCTAATAGTAAACTGTCACCTTTGGTATCCCCAACAATCCTCACCGTGGTCATTGGGCAAATGTAAAAATCACAAACCTTAACGAGATTCTGTCTACATGGTCACACCCGGTCATTGTGAAGATCTAAAATTCTATCAACAGTGAGACAACATGGCTGTTCATAATCATTTCCAATATCATCTTAGAATTAGTGATAAATATTAAGTCCCACACTAAACATTCTCTTAATAATTCTTACCAAATACCAAACAGAAAGTGGGGTGTGGGAAAATGGGACATATTCCTACGTGAAATAATAAGACATAAGTAGTGATGACTGTTCTATCATAATTGTACTATCTAAAGCATGAATTTGGCGAACGAAAAACATTATATTCATAGTCACCCTCAATGACTAACGTGGGCAAAACTTAAAATGAATATGTCCGCAATCCACAAACAATCACTTCACTAATGGCGAGCATTTACCAACCCGCGACAATCGTGTCATCTCCGGGATTCCCCTAGCAATAAACTCGCTTCTAAACTCACTGCTGTTCTACTGTCGGGTAGCCACAATGGCTAGACTGGACCCTTCTGGAATGGTTCATGCCATAAAAGTCCAACAACGGAACACTAATTAAGACGGGCCGACCTTGTGTTCATGGTCTGGTGAACACAGGTCAATGGCGGCTCGTTAACTCAAGATTCACATCTCACTGTTTTGATTTATCTCACTATTCTTTTAATATATTTTCCAACTTCAACTGAAACCAGGGCCCGTGTTACACGCATGGCACACGCGTGTGCAACGAGTGACTCACGCGTGCTCAACGGGTTGCACACGCGCTGCCAACCCGTTGCACACCAGTGTCATATGCGTGTCACACGCGTTCTCAACGCGTGTTAGGGGAATGAACTTTTAGGCAGTAGTGTACGTCCGCTGTGTACAAGTGCAGAAATTCTGCTGCTAATAAGTAAAGAAAACACCTTTTAAGAAATATGTTCGTTTTGCATCAAATATTTGTTTTGTAGTCGACTAGCATAACTTATACGTCATGCCAACATCTTACATCCCAGAAGGTATTGTTGAGCAGGGTGAGCGAGATTCCTCTCAATTTCTTCCAGGTCATGAGGTTTTGTAGGTAAACTGTAGGGTTTCGCATGATCTTCAAGGATTATTCTTCATCAAGTCCATCATTTCTTTCTAAAAGTAGATAGCCCGTCGCAACCATTCTGAAATGTTGGTGGACTTGACCTTTCAGGAATGAAAGAAAGAAAGAAATGAAACAAAACAGTACTGTACAAATATTTAGTAATGTTGGATTTAGAAAAAGTACCGCACATGCATTATGTACAGACTTACACAAGCTAAAACAATAGTATTCAGCATCAACTATTTTCCTTCCGATTAATCTAATTTCTGTATGAGCTTGACCAGATTCCTTTTGTTTACTGCTCTTTTCACAATCATGCTCTAATATGATAAAGTGATAGGACTTTGACTGCATCACAGATCCATACATACTCCAGCATGTATAGTGATAATTGCAATGTTTGATACTGTGATGTCAACCAATCTTACATACAGCCAACCTTACATGCATGACCTGCTGTGTCTGAACTGTCTCCGCTTATACTAGACAACATAAGAGAAGAGCCAGATCAGCTTGAGTTTGGGGTTCGGTTGTGTGACCTCAGTGCCAACCTTGGCTTCCCTGTAAGATGCTTCCTCTGACAATGCTCTCCTTGAATGGTGTTGGAAAGACTTATGGTTTGTTTGTTTTTTGACGCCGCACTCAGCAATATTCCAGCTGTATGACGGTGGTCTGTGAATAATCGAGTCTGGATCAGACAGTGATTGACTTCATGATCATTGAACTACGCAACTCGGATATGATGACATGCACCAAACCAAGTCAGTGTGCCTGACACTCAATTCCGTTAGTCGTCTCTTACGATAAGTAATGGTTGCTAAAGACAAATTCTAACACGGATCTTCTCGGGTCCAAAGAAGTCTCATATCAATCCGGGAGATAATCACGATGATGGGCTGTATCAGGCCTGCGTTGATAAGGAGGACGATGTGGAGAATGATCATGTCAACTATATATTATTTCATATGGATTGGAAGACTCTCGGGATGTAGGAATGTTTCCGTGTTGATGTGAAGTACAAGGACGACTTTGGTGAGCTGTCGACTGGGAATGAGATCTTGACAATGATCTTACACTCCATGACTGAGTTGAAATTGGCCCCGATGTTTCTCGTGATGACCTTGCAGTTGATCCTGATCTTGAACTTGATGTATTTTTGAAGATGGCACAGCTGTACATGACTGCAGGCAACTCAAACCCAGAAGGGTCGGGAAGCTGACACCTCTCCCTATCTGTGAATAGGAAACACGTTTGTTACTTAATAAGCTGGGCTAGCACTAGACGTAAATATATTTAAGCCAAACTGTTATTCAATTCTTGAAAACTAGAAATTAAATTTTAATTAATATACGTTTGCCCAAACTATCTCAAATGTATTTAGCCAGGTTGAGAATCGGTTAGCAATTGATGTAATTAACATTAAGATTTCCAATGTACACTAGGGTTTCAATTGATGAGATAGAAGGAAACACTCAGAACAAAATATCCTTTCCTGGCTTTAGCCCAGAGAATATATTTTGGTCTCGGCCCTCGTTAATCTTTATCCCAGAATTTGTCGACAATGGCAAAATGTTTGTGCTAGTTTAGTTAAGGTCTGTAATAATACATTTTGGGAAATATTGAAGTTAATCCTAAGGGAAATGTTCTTGAAGATTTGTATTTCCGATAACAACTTATGCATTGTCAATGATGGATCAATCCATATTTACATCCTGCTTTTTGAGTGAGTGAGTGAGTGACGTTTTACGCCGCTTTTAGCAATATTCCAGCAATATCACGGCGGGAAACACCATAAATGGGCTTCACGAGGCTACCCGACCGCCCCCCTGCTTTTTGAACGTATTCCGCTTTAGATCTATCACTGTCAACAGATCCAAATCTATTAAACAAATTCACATGGTCTGTCCATGATGACTTGTTTGAAAGCGACCATTTTCCTTCAAGTCTACCAGCAAATAATTCATCTGATGTTCAACTTACATCAAGGTGGAGTTTTACTGAAGCAAACTGGCCTATATTTCGGGAACTCTGTACTGAAGCCTGATATGTTCAATAATGTTATCGATCCTATTCAGTTGTTTTCGAATATGCTGATTGATGTTGCTGGCATAACCATTCCAAAGTCCTCTGCTAATCCACAAATTCAAAAACCATGGTTTGATTATGAATGCAAACAGGCTAGGAAGGGCAGGAAAAGAACGTGGAATATTTCCGCCGACATCCATCTTTACATAATTTGATTCATGTAAAAATCGTTCCTAGAAACAAAAGATTTGGAACAATTATGTCTCTAAGATAAGTCAATATCCAATATCCAAGTTGTGGAACATGACCGCAAATATTAAAGGCAGACTAGGAAGATGTTTGACAGTACATTCATAACAGGCAATTCAAGCTTATGTACTACGCAATGCACTGGTACAACATGCTTTTCTTGTGTGCATATTTTGGCTGTTACACTACCTTTGCTGAAAAGCATTACTGAATCTCCATTAAAATCCACGCATACTAAAGTTGGGCAATGTGCTTCTATAGTACTCAATAAATCATCAAAACAAATTCCTACTGATTCAACAGCTTTTTCAATTCCACAAAGCACACTATCGGGATTAAAAGGTTCAAGAGGTACTGTTCTTGCATGGAAGCATACTGGTTGACCATGGCTTACATATCTTACAAACACGGATTCGTGCTCCCACTCCCACTATCTTAGCTCCCATCAGTTAAAATCTGGCTTTCTTTATTTCGGGAATAAATTCCTTCTGGAGGGAACGTGCAATGGCTTTAATAAACTCATGTGCAACTGCAACGTTTCTGTACTTGTTTCCAGTGCCAACTCAAACACAGTCAAGTAGGTCTAAATTAAACTCAAAATGATGAGGTTTGTTTTTCCGGTAAGCAACATGGAATGCAGTATTGAATATTTTTTCTAATTTCTGCAGTGTCTTTTTGTCACAGTTGTGTAAAGCTTTTATGATAGGACTCACATTGTCAGTGCTACTAATGACAAAATAATTCTTGTCTCAAGAACAGAAAACCTCTGATTTGGCACTTAATGTTACCCTGATGAAAAAAGTCATGTATCCCTCAAAACGATGTTCACACAAGTCGTCGAAGCTTCAGTAATTGGCCTAGCCACTGTTAGCATTCACACGTTGACGCATGCTGCTCATCAGGCGTTGGAAATAACGTTGAGGCATTGCTTGCTATTCTATGACTAACCGCTGAGCCAGTTGCTGGAAGTTGACGACAGGGACGTGATGTGATCAAACTCGCCTCGCCAATTCATCCCACGCCTGCTCAATGGGTGAATATGCAAGCACATCCATGTGCGTTGTTGTCCTGGAACCAAGCTCCTGGTCCCATCCACCGTTTGGGTTGAACAATCTGATTGAGATTAAGCAGACCAGTCAAGTTTCTGTTGACAACGTACAAAGGGGTTCTGTGGTACAAGGATATCCCCGCCAACACCATCACACTTCCTCTTCCAAATGGTAGGCGTTGAGCAACGTTGACATCAGCAAATCTCCCTCCTTGTCGACGATAAACACGAGCCCGGCCATCAATGAACTTGAGCGAGAGGGTGTTACTCATCTGTTAACATTGTGTCTACCCACTGATCACGGTTACACCGGATATGACGTAGGCACCAATCTCGGCTAGCCCTTCTGTGACGGTCAAGAAGCGGTGGTCGGACTGCAGGACGCCGGCATTGCAAACCTCGGTCTCGCAGACGACTGCTAATGGTCTGGTCGGACATGTTGGTGCCGCTGGCTTCTCGCGCTGTTGTTGATCGGGGTCTTCCAGAACAGGTGCGATTCTGAACAGCAATAGTTGCCCTGAACCTTTGCCAGGGTCTGCCGATAACGATTTGGCTTACATTTAGACGCTGAGCCACAGTTCTCTGAGTTTGTCCTTCTTGTAGCCAGCCAATGGCCCTTCCCCTCTCTAGGATGCTGAATGGTCGTCGAACCATCCACAAATTTCAGGTGATGATGAATGAAAAATGCCCATTCCTCAACTTGGAATGCATTGAATGACACTCACACAAAACACGGGCAAATGGTGCATGAGCTGGCACAGCGGGTTTTGCGAGGCAGTTTGTCATTTTAGTCTAACTGACTAAGAAAAGGAAATCCCGGTTAAGTAAAACAGTTTCCAAAGATAAGTGTAATTATTACATGTCCCATACTACTGTTATGTCTATCGTCCACATGACAACCCAAAGGGGAATATTCTGACCCTATCTGGCTGAAAAAATACAATATTGATAACAAAATCCTTTGACCATTAACTTCTTTTGAGTAGTATATTTTTGATAATGTCATGTATTGTAGAAAGTAAGTGCCTTTTAATTTGGTAGAATGAATTTATAGCTGAGATTGTTTGTGGCTGTACCTTCAAAGGGGGTTGAAGTAAGTCCCATTTCATTCAAAGTAAACTGACGGGCAAAAGAAACTATACCAAAGTATTTTTTATTTAAAAAATATCACATCAGCACTGAACTGGATTTTTTATTGTCAAACCAAATCGCCTGAACGCAGCTTCATCATGACTGAGTTTAAAAAATCCTGCTTCTTCCCGAATATGGACTTTATCGAACTTTTCTCATTCAAAATGGGATGCACGTGCATCACGACAAAATGGCTCGGAACGGTATAAAATCCGCCAATCTGTATGTTTTACACCACAATCGTACCGACCACAACAGCTGACATGCCGAGACTGACCGCACAAGAGCGAGAGAGAGCAATTGGGATGTTGCAGTTGGGAGCACACCATGCCCATGTTGCTCGCATCTTCAACTGCACCAGAACAACGATAACGAGGCTGCAGACACGACTCACACAAACAGGTCGTACAGATGACAGGCCAAGAAGTGGAAGACCCAGGGTCACAACCGCATCTTACATCTACGCAATCGTTTCGTCACTGTGACGTCATCGGCAGCCACAGCCTTACATGATGTGGTCAGTAGAAGGAGTCTTCGACAACACGGTATTCGGGCCTACCGGCCTTTTCGCGGGATGACTTTGAGCCGTCGTGACCGACGTAACCGCCTCCATTGGGCAAGAATGGTACAGCGGTGGCAAAACCGGAACTGGCAACGAATTCTATTCTCTGATGAGAGCAGGTTCCAGTTGTATAGAGCTGATGGCCGTGTGCGTGTGTATCGTCGGAGAGGAGAGAGAACAGCCGAATGTTGTGTTCAGGAGACCGTGCCATTCGGGTGTCGAAGCGTCATGGTCTGGGGTGTACAACAGGGACCGTACGGTTGCAGGGACCGTACAACAGACCTGGCTGTCTTTGACCGTAATTTAAATGCTCAAGTCTACATCGACCATGTATTGCGTCCTGTGGTGCTTCCCTTCCTCCAGAGGAATCCCAGAGTAATCTTCCAACAGGACAACGCTCGCCCCCACATCGCCAGGATCTCCAGATACTTCCTAACTGCAAATAATGTACACCTTTTGCAATGGCCAGTAAGATCGCCTGACTGAACACCCATTGAGCACTTGTGGGACTATCTGGACAGACAAATAAGGGAAAGAAATCCCCCTCCGTCAGGCACTGTTGGAAGAATGGCGAGCCATCCCCAATGACGTCATCAGGGATTATGTAAACTCCGTGCGGCGACGTGTCCAAGCCTGTATTCAGAGCAATGGAGGCCATACAAGATACTGACAGTAATGCATTTGTTAAAAAAATGCGTTTTCTGTTTTCGTTCAGATGATTTGTTTATTTTGCAAATTGACATTTACCCCCTGTGTCATTCCTTACCTGATATTGAAGTTCCTGTAAATGCCACCTTTGTGGAATTTGAATCAGAACATTGTAAGATACATTTTCTTTCCAACTCGCAACACTATATTTTTGTGATATATATGATAATGTTGTCAACACCAAATCAGTGTTGGTATAGTTTCTTTTCCCCGTCAGTTTATTTTTCATATCTCCATTGTTGTATTCGCAGAATACTTGTTGGTATTAACTGTTTGGTTTAACTTACTTACAATCGCCAGAAGCCAGAGCAGACAGACAGACAGGTTGATTCAGTATTAGGGCCATATGGCCTAAAATACAATTGATACTATTGGTTGGTTGGTTGGTTTGTTGTTTAACGCCGCACTCTGCAATATTCCAGCTATATGACGGCGGTCTGTAAATAATCGAGTCTGGACCAGACAATCCAGTGATTGATATCATGAGCATCGATCCACGCAATTGGGATCGATGACATGTATCAACCAAGTCAGCGAGCCTGACCACCTCATCCCGTTAGTCGCCTTTTACGACAAACATAGTCGCCTTTTACGGCAAGCATGGGTTGCTGAAGACCTATTCTATCCCGGAATCTTCACGGGTCCAATTGATACTTACTCATAATATGATGTCACGTGCATTAACATGTCAGATTTATAGTCATTATTCAAGAAGGGGAGATATGTAGATCTTAACTTGGAATACTTTTAACACTTAAATAAGACTTGTAATTCATCTTCAACTTCACTTCTGTCACAATTGGTACAAACACTGTTAACAGCATCAATATCTTTCGATATTTACATTAAAATTACGTAATGAGATTCTAAATTTACAAAACAATCTTATTAATGACTTATCTGGTAAGACAGATAAATACATTTCCTGTTGAAGATGTGTCTTTAGTTTACTATAATTGCTAAAATAATGCGAAGATGAAACAGTTTCGTTCCAGTGTTGTGCAAATATATCTTTCACCCGCTGCTTAAATATTCCCATAAACACTTGAATGTTTCCAATATCCTGTGCAGAGCATGGAGAACCATGCAGGAAGTAGCTGTGCCGTTGTCCCTAGTATGGTGGCCTAACTTTGGTTACTGGTGATCAATAGCCCACATTTATATTTTTTAATACTACTTTGAGAACATTTTTAAAAGGAAATTATCACTAAAAATCACAATATAAAACTAGGCTGAAGACCGTCAGCAATCAAAGTTAGGCCACCATACTAGGGACCCTTGGCCGAATGTATTCATGGGTAATCGAGGAACATAGTGTATACAACAAGCACTTACACAATGTTTTTGAAGAGGGATGAAACTCTTATTACACCAAGTTATGCTTGATAAATTCAAATAATTCATTTTGGAAACAGTTCGCTATTTTGGTTGAAAACACGACATTAAATGATTCAGTTAAATGTTGTTTTTTCGTTAATTCAAAAGGTTAAAACGTAGTATACGTAAAAAGGAAGAGCCATACCAGTTGATGACAGCACGTGAAACGATCCACACTGTCTGTACTCGATGAAAACAATCAGCCAGGTCACGCATAGTAGCTAACCGTTTAATTTGCGGGTACTTTGGACTTCATGGACCTCGAGTATACAAGCTGTTGTTCAGTGTATGTGGTCTGTATAAGACCCTTTCGCACGGGTTCGACCCATTCTGTCTTGTGATGCTATACGGATAAACTACAAAAAAAGACATGATCTGTTCGACTAAGTGGGTGAGTGAGTATGGTTTTACGCCGCTTTTAGCAATATTCCAGCAATATCACGGCGGGGGACACCAGAAATGGGCTTCACACATTGTACCAATGTCGGGAATCGAACCCGGGTCTTCGGCGCGACGAGCGAACGCTTTAACCACTAGGCTACCCGACCGCCCCTGTTCGACTGATAATGAAGGTATGAAGCAAGAAAGAATATCTGGTGAAGACCTATTCTGCCAATGGGAAGAATTCTCCTTTCAGATAAGCCGTTATTGCCACAATTCAATATTGAATTCATCATGATGTTAAAAACTGCGTTATTCATGGAAATTACCGCCGTTGGCCAATACAAGCAACCAACCATTCCACAGATTTATTCCAAATTCTTTGTTGCAATAATGATAACACACATTATAGTTTGTCAGTTAAAACTTATATAGAGCATTATCACACGTTAATGGGACATTTGCGATGGTAATTCACAACGACACATACTTTTTACTACCATCGACTACAACGTATACGTATGATAAATCATTTTATGTGAAAGAACCTGATACATTTAAAGAGGTAGCGGTTCTGCCTGATTTATATGTCAACGCATGATAAAGTGAACTAAGACTGCAGGCAGATGTGTCCCGAGTTGACGGTGGCACCACTGATACCAGACCATCAGTCAGTATTGGTCAGAACGGTCATGGAGATCTTCTGGATGATGTCGGGGGTGTTGCCATTTCCAACGGGAGAAAACACATGCAAAACAGTGGTAAATGTACTGCTATAATGATGTAGTGTGCATGGATATTATGGACAAATGAACCGTAACAAAATACTGCACTCAAAGAAGACTACTGACCACTGAGTCTTCCCCATCCGCTGATCGTGCATGTTTGTCCGGCATTGCTACCAGAAGCCAGATTGACGGTTGCTACCAGAAGCCAGATTGACGGTTCCCACAGCTGAACTGTTTGTGTCCATTGCGGTTGACAGTCCTAGGACTGCGATGTCGCCAGGATAACCAGCAGCATTACAATCGTAGTTTGGGTGCTACACGAGGCAACAAGAAACACTGTTCATACAACGCATGCCATAGCTGAGACGGTAACTACTATTTACGTATACGTACTGGTTAAGCTTGTCTTCACACTATTGCCACTTTATCCAGGGTCTTGCTATTCTATACTAAAACATCAGATCTTATTCAGGGGACAGTCTATGATCAGAACGCATTTTTTCACGCGTGCAAGCACTGTGTCGGATACGGATATTGTTTATTGTAATATACAACCACCATCGGTGGCACATGAGCATAAATTATAATACAATTCATGTCACGCCAGAACATACCAGATGGCTTATACATATATTGTATCATATAATACATGTCTATCAACTAATTATTTTGTGAAATGTATCCGTGGGTATGAGGTCTATATTTGGACAAAGAATTACATAGTACATTGGATAGTTTCATGGGTCTACTATTAAAAGTTATTTTCTGCCAAAATGTTGTCTTTGGCTTTTAGATCTTAATGTAAACACTTTTGAGTTTACCTTATACCATCAGTCAGGTGTTGAGTTTCTTAATTGCCTAGCCAACGTTGTTTGTGATATTGAAATTTTCAAACCCACATATTTGTTTAATTCTGTGTTAAAATAGAAGCAATCAAGACATCTAAAGCAGAAAGGAGGCAGTCAAGAGGCAATTGTGCAATGCGTGATATTTTTAATAAACAGTACATAGCCCTTTCCGTTTTCAGTCAGTGAGTTAATGCTCCTAACCATTCTTTTATTTCCATGTAGATTTGTTTCTATGTGAGTGAATGAATGAGTGAGTGAGTGAGTATGGTCTTACCCCGCTTTTAGCAATACTACAGCAATATCACAGTGTTGGAGACCAGAAATCGAACCCGGGCCTTCGGCGTGACGAGCGAACGCTTTAACCACTAGGTTAACCACCGCCCCTATTGCTGTGTAATACATAAATATCAACTTTCTGTAACAAAAGTTTGTCTTAATTGCTGGACATTCTCCAAATATAACAATATTGTTTGTTTAAACGTTAACGTCTACTGTATTAACTGCATACAACAGCAATATAAGTTGGACACACATTAGAATGTCACTTTCCTGTTGCTGTTTAATATGTATACGAGTGGATCCAGTTTCAATCAAATATGTTTCTGAATAGGATATTGAAAAAAAGAAGTGGGGATAAATGTTCTCCTTGTTTAACCCCAAACTTACATGGGAAATACAAGGATGAGGTACATTTTGATCTTATCTTTTATTCTGTGTCCATATTCTTCACAATTTAGAAAAAGTTCCTTGCGTGACAGCCATATGTAGTTGTGAACAAAATCCAACTCTTCACACTGACTCAAATGCTTTGGTAAAATCTATGAACGCACAGTGCAGTGTTTTTCTTTCCAGCGGATGAGATATTTACTAATACTATTTATAATAAATATATTATCCTCTGTTCGAAAATGTTTTCGAAATCCTGCTTGAGAGTTGAAAATTATATTATTCACATCCCTGCATTTACTTAATCGAGAATTTCGAATACAAGTAGATAATTTGTCTACAACACGTACGGCAGCCATAGTGATTGATTATAACAACTGTTTTGCGTTTGATATAAAAACAAGAATGCACCCTGAATCTTTCGTTCACATTATCAATCATGGAGTGAAACATTGATACTACTTCCAGAACCCCCAAAACACTTAGCTATAAGGACGTTCGTCACTGAAGCTCATGTTGTGCGACGTTAACAAAATACAGTAAACTATGGTTATAACGAACTCAAAGGGACCACTAAATTTAGTTCGTTAAAACCGTAGTTCGTTCTAAGCATATATACATCATATATACAACAAATAACCAGGACTAAAAATAAGTTCGTTGTATCGGTCAGTTCGTTATAAGCGTGTTCGTTATAACCGTAGTTTACTTAAATGTATTTCTATGCACTATTGGAGAAGATAATTAGCAATCACATTTTTGAAAGTATGACGTTATAACAGATGAATACGTTAGGAATAATTACTTCTCAACATATTTTAACTGCAGTTTTCTACTTCCTGTGTTATCATAACACATTTGTAGCTGTTGGAGAGACAGTAGGCGGCTGTAAGGGTCTAGATTTTATTATTAGAAACACGACCATAGTATGACATTAGCTCGTTCTTTATGTAACTTTCAAATAGATCAGAGACATTTGGAATAAGAAAACAAACTTACCGGCAAAGGTACAGAGAAGGATGGTAAGAAGTGTGTTCATCTTTGTGGATCGAGATGAAGTGACAATGTGTGCAGTCAGGTAGTCTATTTTACAGATCGGGGCTAATCATATGTTCTTCTCCCACTATCATAAATGTGCCATTGTGCATAAAGTAGGGAAAGTGTGCAACTATCGAGGAGGTTTATGGCTCTTTATAATTGTAAACGTCAGCATTATGCAAAAGCTCCCTGACGATGCCTTGCGATGCAACACTATTTCATAATATCAATTATGCTAATCCCATTTTTGTACCAGTAGGCATATGGATTGGACTATGTGTCTTGGGTAAAATATGGAGGGCAGTTGACGTGTACGTCTTTACACAGAATTATTCTTTCTTTTTTTTGGTTATTCGTTATGCCTCTTACACGAACTCAATGTTTAGTTGTTTGCTTGTTTGTTTAACGCTCCACTCACTAATATTCCAGCTGTATGACGGCGGTGTGTACATGATCGAGCCAGGCCCGGACAATCCAGTGATTGAGATCATAAGCATCGATCCACGCGATTAAGATACGATGACATGCATCAACCAAGTCACCGATCCTGTCCACCCGATCCCATCTTCCCGAGGCAAGGGAGTCAACTGACTTTAGAAGTCCAGTATCCACCCTTGCCGAGCTAAGCTAGAATTTCGTGCCTCGATCGTAGCGCCACCAGTGGCGATTAAGAATTAGGTATGTCCCTTTATGTAGCTCATATTGGTCAATGAGATTCCACCTCTGATATCACATGCACTTGCTTAAAACAAAATGGGGGCTTCAAGACGATCCCATCCATTATCAACATCTTTATTGTAATAACAATAGTCCAACCTCGCTACGTACATGGAATCACTTGAACATCTTGATTAAAAACGTGAAAACATTCGGAAAACATCTATCGACGGGTAGTTGACGGTACACATGCTCTGCAAATCCTGCAATCGACCGAAATCTGCACCGCAGTCGCCATGTTGTTTGCGAACCGAATGCCGATTTCGTTACGCGATTTTGATTGGACCATGCAAAGGCTCGTCAGTCATGCAAAACTATTACTCCATAATACAAGCCTAGTTCGGCAAGGGTAGGAACTTGACTTTTATAGACAGTAACCTCTCTTGTCTCGGGAAGGTGACCCAGATCAGTCGCCTCTTTCGAAAAGCATGGATTGCTGAAGACCAATTCCAACCGGGATCTTCACGGGTAAGATTACTTTGTCAACGTTCCAATGTACGAACCCTTTCACTTTCTATGTTTTTGTTTAATATAGGGCGGTCGGATAGCCTAGTAGTAAAAGCGTTCGCTCGTCACGCCGAAGACCCGATTCCCGACATGGGTACATGTGTGAAGCCCATTTCTGGTGCCCCCTGCTATGATATAGCTGGAATGTTGCTAAAAGCGGTGTAAAACCATACTCACTCACTCACTTTGTTTGATATAGTTTCTAAGTTACCCTTCCACGATCATATAAGAGATTGTACAAGTAAAATATTTGTCCTTCGACAATGTATAATAGTGCTTAAGCATTTGCTTATCTGGTAAGCGAAACACGTGCCGTAATATCCTGTCTACATTTAGCAACATTTGGAAATGATGATTTATGTTATGTTGTAATACCGACTTCACACTGTGGTCTGCTTTAGTTTCAAGTGCCCATTATGATTAATATATTGGAACACGAGTACAACAACTGATGTTTCCCATATGTGCATTCTGCACCAGTCTGATCTCTGGTCAGCCCAGCTGTTATACAAACAAAGTATATGTACCCTATATTTTCTTTTATTTAATTTGCACAATGAGAAGTTATGGTGCCGAACGTTAATGACAGGTTTTCACTATTATTACGAGGGGTGTTCATTAAAGATTTCCCCTGACCAACTACCGATGGACCTAGTGCAATGACACTTGGCATAGGTATTAGTCTTTCTCCACATAGGAACCACCAAGAGTTACACACTTCTCCCATCGTTTTATGTAACTATGGAGACCTCGCTTGTAAAAGCCCTCATTTTGCGTCTCGAACCAGGATCTGACTTCAGAAATCAGTGTTTCATCATCTGTGAAACGTTTTCCCTTAAAAAAATGACTTCATGGTTGGAAAGAGGTGGAAGTCAGATGGTGCAAGGTCAGGAGAGTAAGGACGATGTGGAAGGATTTCATAGACACAGGACCGCGCTTCTGTCTGGGCAACATGAGAGTTGTGTACTGGAGCATTGTCTTGCAGGAGACGGACACCCTTGGTCAGCATGCCACGCCTCTTAAGCTTGATAGCGTCCCGCAAATTCCGCAGCAGTGAAGCATAATAAGCTCCTGTAATTGTGGTACCCTTTGCCAAGAAATCCATCATCACTACTCCGTGCTGGTCCCAAAACACCGTGAGCATGACCTTGCCTGCAGAGGGTTGGACACGTGCCTTCTTTGGGGGTGGTGACTCCACATGTTTCCATTGCATCGACTGAACTTTAGTTTCAGGATCATAGTGATGGACCCATGTTTCATCCTGTGTGATAAGTCTGCCAAAATGGCGGTCTCCACTTGATGGATAGTGTCCACATCAATGGCTGAATGGGGGCGACCAGGAATGGCAGCTGTTTCCACAGATGTCCGACCACACTTGAACTGGCGATGCCAGTGTTTAACAACGTCATAGGATGGGGCATCTTCCCCATAAGTTGCTTTCATTTCATCGAAAGTTTCTTTTGGTGTGCGACCTTTAAAATATAAAAACCTAATCACTGCTCGGTATTCTACTGGCTCCATTGTCACCCCCTACTCGGTAAGATAAATAGTTCGGTGCTGCAAATTCAGACATAACCAATAGATACATGTATCATTACACATGTGAAATTTCAACCAAATATGATAACCCTAAGTGGTTTAGGGGAAATCTTTAATGAACACCCCTCTTATGTCTCAAAGTGAGATTGACCAATCAGAGAGCAGAACTACTAACCGTATACCGTCAGTAAAAATCCATGCTGGTTGTTACTGACGTAATATGAGACTGCATACCGTCAGTAGCAGCCATTTTGGATTTCCCAACACCCACTTCACGTATTTCACAAGAACATTCTGGTACAGAAATTAGTTATTCGGCACTGTTTTGTGTTTTAATATAATTAATTGTGATTTGCAAAGACATTAATTTTTAAAGAAACTACGTTCGTGACTTTATTACTTAAATTATAGAGAAAAAAACCTTACAACGGAGGTCACTGATTTACAAATAGCAACGTCATAGAACATAATATAGGATGACGTCACAAACAAGAAACGCCAATGACGTCACATAGCAATAGAATAGATTGCAACCCGTCGTTAGGGATAAACGGACGGCTATCAAGTTACAGTTGACCGCAGATTTCTGTTAACACGCGGGCAGTTTAATAATAATTCTTTCTATTTTAGCTATAATACTTGTTTAAACGTTCACATTTAGTGCATTATATATTCCATTGTTAACGTTTGTGTTTACATTTGAGCATTGTATCAGAAACATATGTTCTGGTCCGGTCATATATGCCGATTGTAAGTTCAAGGTTTCACGTGCGACAAAGATAACAGATAGTGTAAACCTTTCGGCATAATAAATTCGTTATGATGTCTTAAATGGCCGTATACGGTGTCATTTTAGCTCACGCCTTGCCCAATATTTTTCTGCTAACCTAATATGACACCGTATACGGCCACCAAAGACACCATAACTAATATGATTAGTTCTTCATATTCTCGGGGTGGCACAACCTACGGTTGAATTTCACTTTCTAAGTAAAATGCGGAATAATAAACCTTCTGAGGTGAACAAACCGATTTTCTTTTTCCATAGGTTAAAGAGAGGATATACACACAGCTGATATAAACACAAATTCCATCCTCCTTTGAGCCACTTCTGAACGTTGAATTATATTTGAAATTATGCACTATCACTGCAAGATTTAGAATAGCTTTGTCCCAGCTCCGTTGCATTTCACATAATCTCCACATAGAAACGGGTCGGTACCATGTTGTAGTCAAAGACATGAATGGATTTGCCTGAACTGCAATACTCATGTTGTGTACATCATGCCAATAATCGTAGAATATTACCAAACATTGTTCTGTATTTCTTAAATTTGTTCTGCACACCACGTTCTTACTGTGCACAGTTGAATCAATTGCATGCTGTGAATTTGGGCCGATGGCGTACCCTCTGATACAACTGATAAGTAGATTTGGTTCGGTCTGTTAAACTAACGTACTTTTTTATTTATGTTCATGTATATACATTTTTAACATGCGTAATCAATAAAACAACAGACACATTCTCGAGCTGCCTATAGTGTACTGTGTCCAGTGTAGTTCGGGGGTTTATTATTGTTGTTAGGGTACAGTAGCTGACACTCAAACTGTCACCACAATACGTATTATTCCCAGTGTGACAATTATCACTCCAAATTCCAAACATGTATTCCAAACTTCAGACTACAGACAGTACGTGGATCCGTCTACTAAGGGACATAACTCACGTTGGTGTAGGAGGTGACAGAGGAGTACCACTCCAACAACACTACGCATGCCAAAAGCCGAGACGGTAACTGCTAGCACTGTGAATATCATGAGGAAAACATCAATTTCGCATCTCTTACGAGGTGATTTCCAACTGGAAACGCAGATGTTAACCTAGAAAACGGGTGGAAATATACACATGAGCAATAGTTAAGCACCACACACTTTTCAGATATGTGCTACATTAAAAGAAATAACTAAGACAAAATTGTTATGGATGAGCAACTTCTTTATTACAATTGGGCAACGTTTCGGTGTAGATTCCAACACCGTTATCAAGTAAATGATGTGAATTGTAATAAAGAAGTTGCTCATCCATAACAATTTTGTCTTAGTTACCATTCCAACTTCTAAATGCCACTCAAAGAAATTAAATGAAATGCTCACCAGGGGTGCGTTGCAAAGCGCCAATCGCTTGCAAGCGATGCACAGCGATTCGCCTTACAACAGTGCGCTTACTTTCAGCCGCTTGCAAG